TCACTGCAAGAAGCTTGCATGCATCGAGAGCTTGCATGGGAAGCAGTGGCTGTGCAGAATTTTCTCATTTTTTGGAGTTTTTTTTACTCGATCTCTTTACTGTTTATGTGTCGGCGATAAGGGTGCGCACGGCTTCTCGTCCTTTTCTAGCTATGTCCTTGTCGAGGAGCATGCTTTGCTACATGCAAATGTTTTGCAGTTAATGCCAGAAGCTGAGATTGAAAAGGTGGGCGGCAAGTTGTTCACACCTGGATCATGTCGGCTCGGCGTTCGCACAAGAGGTACGTTTCATTCGATCCGTTCCGTGCTTATGCTCGCTCTTTGAACGTCGTGCATTTACAGCTGCATTTTACCCAATGCCCTTCACTAACACACTTGTCATGCAGGTGCTGCTCATTGTGCGTGGTGCCATGACATGTCAGCCACAACGATTTCTTCACACGCTTCTATGATATGCTGGATAAGGTATTCTCATTCATTTGCACACTCATTACTGAATTTTTCTAAAACAGCAGTTTTTATGACCAGAGCGGAAGAAATTTTTGTGAAATTTTTGCACTGGACCATGCAGAAATCGGTCTGCCGCGTTTGTTTTGTTGTTTCACTGTAATGGGCGTTTGTACAGGATCCGAGTACAGCAGAGCTGCGACAAGTGCAGAAAGCTTTCATGCCACTTATCAAACTAAACTACCGCGGCACCGAATTGGACATACTGTTCGCCAGCCTGGCTTCAAAACGGGTGCCGGAAGATGAGCAGTTGAAGGATTATTTGATCTTGGAAAATTTGGACAAGAAAAGTATTCGTTCATTGAACGGTTATTTCACTGTGTTGCCGAAACAAGCAATAACATAATGTCGAACTCACTCGCTTCCCCATTTACACTATTCATGCATTTTAGGCTGTCGTGTTGCTGATGAAATACTAAATTTGTGCCGACTGTTAAAAATTTTGCATACACTCTTCGAGCGATCAAGTTTTGAGCGCGATTTCGCATACACTCTTCGAGCGATCAAGCTTTGAGCGCGAAGTATGTTCTTCCTTATTTCTAACGCTCGTTTCTTTTCAGCTGTTGCGTTGGGCATTTTTAGCATGCACATCAATGGATCTTTTTATTCAGTTTTCCAGCTGTTTTAAGTTCAGTTTGGGTAGAAAATAAAATTATGGTCTTTGTGCAGTGTGAATCTCAGACTGTTTTTTGTATGATTTCAAAAATGGAATATATTTGCATTTCCAGACCATGGCATTTATTCGAATATTGTCGGCTTTCCTGGAGGAATTTCCTGGGCAATCCTTGTTGCTCGAGTATGCCAGTTATATCAAAATGCGGCTCCATCAGGACTGCGACTCCCATTTCATTTCGATTCTGCTTTGTAAATAGGCTTGTATAACACTATTATTTTTTGTAAAGAGCAATCTGATATTTCTGTACTGAAATTTGCAGGGAGCAGCCGCTTCCAGTATTTTTAAAAAGCAGTCAGAGTTCGTACTTAGTGGAAATACCGTCCTTGCAGGAACTTGTATGGGATCTCTGGACACGAATTGGACACGAATTAGTGATCGGTATGTTTTCGGATCTCATGATCTCAGTATCTCTTTTTGGATAGATATCTTCCAGAGCATTTATTAAAATTTGTCAAAATGTCAGTTAATTATTGTAGACATCACTTGATGCCAATAATAACGCCTGCATTTTCTGAGCAATATTTCACATTCAACGTCACTAAGTCAACACAACGAATTGTCACGGATGAAATAAGCGAAGGTTCATATTAAATTGCTATTAGCAGTGCTGCTGCAACATCTTTTTTTTTTATTTTGTAATTTCCCGAAATTCTTGTTTCTTGGAGTAAAGCATTTTGTTCTTCTAGCGATTAGTATTGTCATGGATATAATAGGCGGAAAGGCGGAATGGTCAGAACTGTTCGAGAAAGTCTTTTTTTCGCGATACAAACATTTCCTGGCGCTTCTTTCTGTTTCGACAACTGAGGGTTTTTTTTCACTTTGTCTGTTAACTTTATTTTTGAAATATATTTCAACCATGAGAATTTTGCTAAATTGTTTCTTGAGTTAGTGGAAGAGATGATCTGCGCGTAGTGGCACATATATAGTTCAAAATTGAGTTTTGTAACACTCAGTCGCGCATTAATTTTCAGTAAGATAATTTGATATGGTCCGGGTTAGTTGAATCAAAAATCCAACATTTAATCGCATATGTCGAACGAAATCCAGGCGTCGCGCTTTGTCATATCCATCCGAAATATTTCTTGTCGCGAACTGATCCGCTTCCGGTCACACCGCCAATTCCGTGAGTTTGCACTGTGCGTATGCCTCATTTCCCAAGGCATTTTTCTTTCTTCTGATGCAACTCAGAATTGTTTTTAATTGGTGACAACTGCCGTTTGCTCGTTCTTAATGATTTCGAAAAGGCTTTATGCTTCAGGGATCCTGCGTGTCGCGTTTGGTTCATTGGATTGAGCCCGAATAAACAGTTAACTAAAAATATTGCTATCCAGAATGAGGTGCAGGGCTTCTTGGGCACCGTTACACTGGCAGCACAAAAACAGCGGATTTACAGTGAAGGAATGAGTGTGATTTCTTTTTCTTTGATACCGTGAGAACTGAGCTCCCGCTTTCTTGCAGTGGCATCTCACTAGTACCACAGCATGACATGAAGTACCGGTAGATGTTATGCTGCGAACCGTAGCCTCTTCTCATCGTTTATAGATTACCGTCTGAATGGCTTTATTTTCAGGTTTTACCACAATATGTTCGCAAATCATATCTCGGCAAATGGTTGAAACCGAAAGACTTACCAGGAGGTCGGAAGGTAGCGAAGAAAGCCGATCACATAACGCACCTGAGTCACTCGACTTCTACGCTGACAGCAATTATTCTTCATCTCTGCATGAGGGGTTTTTCAGTGAATATCGCGAGATTATTGAACGCTTGCTTTGTCAAGCTTATTCTTAACTTTTAGCTTTTGTAGA